GCACAATGATCGGATAAACACTGAAGACAGCATATAAAGGCAAACTAATTAGGGCAACAAGACACACCTGGAGTAGATACAAGAGGACACAGGCGAGAGAGGGTGGGGCTACAGGGCAGAGCAAAACAGGGGAACATTGAAAACACTAGAAAGTTAAAGAAAATAAACACAGACCATGACAGGACCCTCCCCTCAACGACGGCTCCCGACGTCGAAAAGAGGAGATGACGAGACACAGGGGAAGATGAGACAACACAGACTCAAGGACAAAACACAGAGTTCAGGGGGACGGCCAAAGGACCACACCAAATGGAGCAGAACATCTGGAGGGTGGCTCAGAAAACCTCCCAGGTCCAAGGGAGTCGTGAAAACGGGGGTGGACCCAACGGAGGAGGCGGAAGCAGAAGAGGAGCCCAGGAAGGAGGCGGGAGCAGACGAGGAGCCCAGGAGCAGACGAGGAGCCCAGAGAGGAGGCGGGAGCAGAAGAGGAGCCCAGGGAGGAGGCGGGAGCAGACGAGGAGCCCAGGGAGGAGGCGGGAGCAGAAGAGGAGCCCAGGGAGGAGGCGGGAGCAGACGAGGAGCCCAGGGAGGAGGCGGGAGCAGACGAGGAGCCCAGGGAGGAGGCGGGAGCAGACGAGGAGCCCAGGGAGGAGGCGGGAGCCGGCAGAGGTTGTCGGAGCCAGAACGTCAGTGACGGCGAATGCAGGCGACAGAGGTGATGAGGAGGTGAAGGGCGACGACCCAGGCGATGAGGGGGCGAAGGGCGACGACCCAGGCAAAGAGGAGGTGACGTGCGACGATCCAGGCAAAGAGGAGGCGATGGTGGTCAACTCTGGAACCACCAGGACCGCCGAGACCTCCAACTCAGAAACCTCCAGGACCTCCAACCCAGTGGACTACTGGGACCATCGACCGTGGAACCACTAAAACCACCGTCTCAGGAATTTCCGGGACCTCCAACTCTGGGACCACTGGGACCACCAGCTGTGGAACCACCGACTCAGGAATCTCCGGAACCACAGCTCAGGAACAAGAGGGGTGGGAGGGAGGGCACCAATGCCCTCAGCCTGGACCCTTGCTGAAGACCCCGAGCGGAAGGTGAACGGCTGGACCCCAGACGACCCAAAACGGAAGGTGGTAGGCTCCACCATTCCCCAGTGGAAGGTGGAGGGGGGCAGCCCAGAAAAAGAAAAATTGCCTGCAGGCTGGGTTTTTTGTGGTCCGATCATTCTGTGAGGTTTTGCAGAATGACCCAGAGTGCAGGCAGGATCCAAAGTGCAAAATAAAGAATTTATTTCAAAAACCAAAATAAACAGCTGACAGTGCAGCAAAACTCTCTGGAACAACAAGGAACATGCAGGACACCTCACTGGCTGAGGGAAGCAGCACAATGGGCCTCATGCAAGAACCATTCGTACGCACAGATTTGTTCTTAAATTG